ACTACATTTGTACATCTTGTGTAACTACATTGTACATCTTGTGTAACTACATTTGTACATCTTGTGTTACTTCATTTGTACAACTTGTGTAACTACATTTGTACATCTTGTGTAACTTCATTGTACATCTTGTGTAACTACATTTGTACATCTTGTGTAACTACATTGTACATCCCGTATAACTGCTTTTCACATCTTGTAACAACATTGTACATCTTGTGTAACTACATTGTATGTCTCAGTTACTATATCATATTCCCTGATTACTACATTGTATGCCCCTAGTAACTATATGTACATTGTATGCTCTGTTTCACTACACTGTATGTTTTGTGCACTTAACATTGTATGCACTTTGTAGCTATATTATTTGTATCACTTTAGTTATGATCTGTATATTTTAAGGTTTTTTTCACACTAATAGGCTGAAGCATTAATTAAAACACCTTGTGCAATATTAGAATTGACGTAATAGTATCACAAGTATGTTTAGACTGACATTTAGCCGTGTTTTACCTCAACATATTGTGTAACTACAGGTTTAAGATATGACTGTATTAGCTGTACCTTGATATTCACCTTTGATATGAGGAGTCTGAGGGCCTTAGCAAAGTCTATATAATCTTGATCTGGTGTTGACACAATCTCCACACCCTGAAAAATTCATCATATAACGTCAAAACTGAACAAGGAAGAAGGAGCATATCTTAAATCAAAAATATTTCGACAGGATTACAGGGTATCTCATGCATCAATGCAAAATGAACTACAAAACGAATATATACGCATGCTTAAATTGCTAAATTTTAGTCAAAATAAGAATTTCCTTAAACACTTTTGAAAACTGACATGATATGAGATAACAAATTTCTTTAGTTCATTGAAGTATAAAATATGTGTATTACAATCATGTATAAATGACCTTTATTCTCTGGTTATATCAATTAATTAACCATACTGCAGCAACCTAAATAAGTTTATAACTAACTTTATATTCATATTTGAAAATGAAATATTTCACCTACATACTTACCTACCCACTCATCTACCTACCCATAAAACTGAGGAAGAGTTGTTGAAAGACAAGCTGACAATAAAGAAAGTATGTCCCACCATTAACATTCTGTCATTTTCTCATAAAAACTGATTACTAACAATGTAAAACCGTTTACCTTGCTTTTGTAAAACTCTGAAACTTCTGGTCTAATTGAGTCAAAGTCTCCACTGATGAGATCGGGGATGTATAAGTCACGGTCAGCCTTCACACTGTCATAAAGGACATTGGTACCTCCATCTACTGTCGCCTTCAGCGTCGCTGGAATTCAGAATTGGTAACAAATTTCTGTTACTTACACTACTGGTTGTAGTTGTAAACAGGATGGTATAATCCCGGCAACAGTTATCATGAACTAAGGGCATTACAAGGAGATAATGCTAATTTTGTATACTGAAAAAAAGGTTTGTGGTTTATGGAAAAACTCGCCAAGGCAGTAAAACCTTTTCCTACTGCCACCATCTGGTCCAGAGGAATGATGGTGTTCTAAAGTGAAAGGGGTTTGGGAATAGAAATGGAGGAAGACTTTCTATTTAGGATTTATAAGGAGGAAAGAAAAATGAGGAAAAAAAAAGTTATTAAGTATCAAATCGTTAGAGGACATAAGAGGCATTATACCAAGTTTTACAGTATAAGGTAATTGTCAAGGTCAGAGAGTGTAACCAGGACTTACCTTTAGCCCACATCTGTTTCATGAAGGTTACATCAATATCCTGTGGCTGATTCAGTATCATGAGGGTGACACCATCTAAAACGAGGGTTGATATTTCAATAAACAGCTTATTTACAGTAATCATAAGCAAACAAGAGGCCCAAAAGGCCTGTATTGCTCACCTGAATATTTAAGCAGTCATAGCAAAATATTCTCATTAAATATTATATTGCACTAAAAATATTTCCCTCGCAACCTTTGTCGGCTCCATCTGTTGAAACTACCAGCCAAATATTATTTTAAGATTCTATGCTTTTTGGTTCTTCTTAAGAAGTTACTTGACATATTTTTCTCCGTGACCTTGTAAGTAGGTCAATGTCATTTTTCTTCTCATTCTTTTTTAGCTCTATCCCAAAAAGCTACCAGCCAAATCTTATGAATCGTTTCCTTTTGGTTCTTAAGAACAAATCCTTTAAAATGTTGTTGACCTCTGTGACCTTCAAGGTAGGTTGAGGTAATTTTCATTCACAAACTTTGGTGAGCTCTATCCTAGGAAGCTATCGGCCAAATATTATAATTTTATGCCTTCGATTATTCAGAAGAAGTCAATTGATGTTTTTGACATATTTGACACCTGTGACCTTGAAAGTAGGTCAAGGTAATTTTCATTCGCAAACTTTGTCGGGGTCTATGTCAGTAAGCCAACAATCAAATATAAAGATTCTATACTTTTTTAGTTCTACAGAAAAAGTCGTTTAAAGAGTTTGACATATTTGACCACTGTGACCTTGAAAGTAAGTCAAGGTCATTTTCATTCTCAAACTTTGTTGGGCTCTATTCCAGGAAGCCACAAGCCAAATTTGAAGATTCTATGCCTTTCAGTTATTCAGAAGAAGTCTTTTGAAGGGTTTGACACATTTGACCCCTGTGACCTTGATAGTATGTCAAAGCAAAGGCTTTTGTAAGCTCTATCCCAGGAAGTCATCAGCCAAATATGAAGATTATATACCTTTTAGTTCTTCAGAAGAAGTTGTTTAAAGAGTTTGACATATTTGACAGCTGTGATCTTGAAAGGAGGTCAAGGTCATTTTCATTTGCAAACTTTGTTGGGCTCTATTCCGAAGCCACCAGCCAAATATGAAGATTCTTTACCTTTTAGTTCTTCAAAAGAAGTCGTTTGAAAAGTTTGACATATTTGACCCCTGTGACCTTGAAAGAAGGTCAAGGTCATTTTCATTCTCAAACTTTGTTGGGCTCTATCCAAGGAAGCCACCAGCCAAATTTTAAGATTCTATGCCTTTCAGTTATTCAGAAGAAGACTTTTGAAGGGTTTTACGCATTTGATGCCTGTGACCTTGAAAGTAAATCAAGGTCATTTTCATTCGCAAACTGTGGTGAGCTCTATCCCAGGAAGCCATCAGCCAAATATGAAGATTATATACCTTTTAGTTCTTCAGAAGAAGTTGTTTAAAGAGTTTGACATATATTTGACACGACCTTCGGGCAGGTGAGCTAAAAACTGTAGTCTGAAAAATACGGATCACCCCTAAATTTTACAAAATCCATAATAGCTAACCTAAGGTACAAGTGAAGCAAATCACAACGTCCATTATACATACATGCACACAGCAATGTACACACATACACATGTCATCACCTATAAGGAAAGGTATATATTATATAATATTAGTAAAAAAACACCAGTTAGTAAGTTTTAGAGACATTTTTGGCAGGTTTTGCTCTATGTGAACCTTCATGGCCTCACCCCTCAGCTATTTGGGGATCTGTGCATCTAGGTTAGGATAATTATCTAAGGGTTACTCTTTGAAATGTTGGTCCAACTCTACTTGTAGCTTTCAGACAGAGAGGGGTTGGGTTATCCCCTTCTTGAGTATACATTATGATCCTCATCAACATCTAAAGGTTCATTTTATGAACCAGTATTTGTAAATATCCATCATCAGAATAGATGTCATGTGAAAATTTTGCCTTTTGTGTCAACCCCTACAGCGCTGCCCTTCAGCTCCACATGGAATCACCTCCTTGAAGTCCCAAATCACCCAGGTGTGATCTAAAGTTTTAAGAAATCACTGTAACACTTTGTAAAATGTGAAATAGAATAGATACCTTTGTGTTCCTTTAAGTATCCCAAGGGACAAAACTCCTGCTGGTCCATTTGTTCTCTATATGGCACACTGCAACAAATGAAAATAAACTACTGTACCTGGTCACAGTTATAGTACCTGTTTATTCACTGCAGTTGTATTTGAACAGCCTCAAGCTCTTCAACTTCTAAGACAAGAGGCCCAATGGGCCTGAATCGCTCACCTGGTATAAAACTCACACTTGTAACATTAAAAGTGATCTAAAATAAAGCTAAAGGCAAAATATCAATATTTATGATTAAAATTCATTCAAAAGACTCTGTTATTTTTTTTTTGAACATTTCACCCCTGTGATTGAAAGTCGAACAAAGTCATTATGTTGAACACATTGTATAGCCTTTCATCTCAGGATGCAACTTGCAAAGTATAAACATCCTGGGACCCATGGTTATTCAGAAGAGGTTGTTTAAAGATTTTAAACAAATTTGACCCCTGTGACCTTGAATATAAGTCAAAGTCATTCACTTTAACAAACATAGTAGTCCTTGATCCCAGCATATGCTACTAACTAAATATCAACATCCTGAGCCTTTTGGTTATTCAGAACAAGTTGTT